TAGTGATCACTCCACCCCTCGTTTGTCAACTTGAGCTTCATCCAATGCCTACAGGTTGAGGTTCGGTGTATGTTACTAGCAACTGTGCAGCAATAACTGGCTGCTCGATGTTTAGCTGACATGCACCCACATACAGCATGTTATATCGGGGGATAGGGGAAGTAAAAAAGCTCCCTTGTTCACTAATGACTTAATGAATGGTGTTGAATGAAAGTCAGTCATTGGCCCAATTGTTAATTCAGTCACCTGTGATACTACTATCAACTGTAAAGATTCCCTCACAAGAGAAAAAGATATCTGACAAATCCATAGGTGGTGATTGTACTGCTTGAGTGCATATATTTGGAGCTAAATATTAACTCAAAAAAAGTGCAAGTGCATGTCCTTTAATTTATTTTACAAACCATTTTAAAATACTACACCATATTTTGTACTTTGTCCTCTTTTTTTACATATCAGCTTTTCTTAACCTGTATTCTGAGGATATCCTTAAGGCACTGCTTTCCTTTGTCATTTTCCTATCATTAAATGCATGCCTGTTTTTATTGGGGGTATATCTACTATATAGTATTTTCATTTTATTTTAATTGTATTCAGGCAATGAAGTTTCCCTTTAAAGAACAACTTATTACATTTTACTTCTAATTTTTTCAAGCATGTTTTACATTTCACTGAACTTACATTTCTTTTAAAATAGTTTTTTTTCTTTTTAAATGATGCATTCTGATTTGTTTAACCCCTTAGTGACCAGACCGCTTTTCAGTTTTCTTTCCGTTTTGGACCAGGGCTGCTTTTACATTTCTGCGGTGTTTGTGTTTAGCTGTAATTTTCCTCTTATTCATTTACTGTATCCATACATATCATATACTGTTTCTCTCACCATTAAATGGTCTTTCTAAAGATACCATTATATATTTTATAAAATATGATGAAAAAAATAAAAAAAATCTCTTTCTAACTTTGACCAAAATCTGTTACGCATCTACACCAGCCAAAAAAACTCGATGCTGAATAGTTTCTAAATTTTGTCCTGAGTTTAGAAATACCCAATGTTAACATGTTCTTAGTTTTTTTTGGAATGTTATAGGGCAATAAGTACAAGTAGCACTTTGCTTTTTCCAAACCATTTTTTTTCAAAATTAACGAAACTTACATTGTAACACTGATATCTGTCAGGAATCCCTGAATAATCCTTCACATGTATATATTTTTTAAAAGTGGACAACCTATGGTATTCAACTTGGGGTATTTTGACTCTTTTCATGCAACAATTTTACCACCAATCTATGCCAAATTAAAAAATAATAATAATTGGTGAGACTTTTTTTGACACACATTGCAATTTAAGAATACATGTACTGAGAACTTTAAGGGTTACTGCCAAAGAACATCCCAATATGTGTTCAGCAACATCTCCTGAGTACAGTATACCACCCATGTGTAGATGTGTTGGGTTCTCTGGAGGCTACAAGACCTTATTTGGAGGGTGCACATTCCAGTTTTCCAATTTGGAATTTTCACAGCTGTTCATCGTGCACCCATGTCCTATTTGGGACATTTTTGACCGCCCAATGTAATTTACCTCCCTCTAACCATATATTTTTTTAAAAAGTAGACAACCCAGGGTATTCAATATGGGGTATGTCCAGTCTTTTTTAGTAGCCATTTAGTCACAAACACTGGCCAAATTTGCATTTATATTTGTTTGTGTGTTAAAAATGCAAAAAACAATTATGAATGCCAACTTTGGCCAGTGTTTGTGACTAAGTAGCTAGTAAAAAAGACTAAACATACCCCATTTGCAATACCTTGGGTTGTTTTCTTTTGCAAATTACATGCCATCGTGGGAGTAATTCTCATTCCTGGACTACCATACGCTCTTAAAGGCAACATAACCAATCTGGCAAATTTCAATGTCAAAAATCATCCGTATATTTGACCCTGTAACTTTCAAAAACACTATAAAACCTTTACATGGGGGGCACTGTTATTCTCATGAGACTTTGCTGAACACAAATATTTGTGCTTCAAAACAGTAAAATGTATTACAACAATGATATCTTCATTGAAAGTGCAATTTGTGTGTGAAAAATGCAAACAATTTCACTTTCACTGACAATATCATTGCTGTGATATATTTTACTGTTTTGAAACACTAATATTGTTCAGTGAAGTTTACTGAGTAAAACAATACCACCCACTTACAGGTTGTAGGGTGTCTTGGAAAGTTACAGGGTCAAATATAGTGCTAGGAAATTAAATTCTCTAGGCTTTCGGCCTGGGTTGTCAGGCAGGTCCCCCAAATTGCAATCAATAAAATGACTTAAGTATGTAAAAATATTACAGAAAAATGCACATAGAATTTAACTATATATACATATTTATATATTTGAAGTCTTTGTGTATATTTATGAATTTATTTATGCAATTATGTATATCGACATATGTATATTTCGGATTATTTTTATTTATTTCTACACTCTATATATATATATATATATAATTCATTCTAAGTGTATTTTGATATAAATACATATATATTAATATCAAAATACAGTTAGAATAAAATGACACACATGTGTGCAATTTTTTAATTATTTTTACATTTTTATTTTTTATTAATTATTAAATATTTCTTATGAGATATATATATATATATATATATGTATGTGTGTGTTCATATATTAATTAAAAAATGCACTTAGTATAGTGAGATATATATATATATATATATATATATATATATATTAATTCATTATTTTTCTTTTTTTTTTCATGAGCAGGGGGACTGCCTGTCAGTTCAGGCAGTCCCCCTGCTAGCAGCACTATGGACACCTATTGCAGGCATGTGACCCCTCTTTCAGAGCGATCACATGGCCCCTGGTGGTCCTAATTTGCAGATGGATTAGAACACCAGTGGGGGAACGGCGGCGATCAGGTAAGTACATATGGAGGGAGGAAAGGGGTTAAATAAAAAATATATTTTTTTATTATTTTTATTATTTATTTTACTGAGTGTCTCAACCCCTTGAGGCACTCAGCACAGGCAGAGCATGCTCTGATGCTCTGCCTCACTGCCGGGCACCAAGTGGAGCAACCCAGAAGTGAGCGATCACCCAGCAGCCTGGCAGTGGGGGGGGGGGGCGAGGTATTGCAGGATGCCTCAACATCGAGGCATTGCTGCAATCCCGTAAGAGTTATGATACAACAAAAAAGGATATACAAAATATTGAATATACTTATCAATTGTACAGAGACAGCTTCCCACTGAACACCTCCCAAATAGTGTTTTGTCTACACGTGGGATTCAGCTCATAAACCTAAAGAATAATAAATAAAAAGAACATTACATAATACAGTTAGTGAAAATATAATATTCCCTGCTCAAAACTGCACTCACAAGAAATTGAAGTAAATATGCACTCTAATGGTGCCTCCCCCAATGTCTTGGGGAGGCTAATGTCTCCCTCTTAGGATCAGGTATCACCCAGTATCAGGAACCATACAGGACTCCGACAGGTAGAAAAGTTAAAAAGGTGTTTATTAGTACTATATAAAAAAAATACAATAAAAAAGAAACATGGTCTTCCGAATTTCGTCCCACTTCTGGGACTTCCTCAGAGACCAATATTTAATAAAAGCAGTTACAACAATAATGCTCCCAAAAAAGCAGTCTAATTCCACCCTCCCATCAGTCCCATTAAATAGGGCTAGTCATTTTAGTCCATTGTTGGTTCCAGTGGGCGTCTTCCATTCCATTCACATCATTGGTGGTATTCACTTCCTTTTCACATGTTTCTTAATCAGAGGTAGCTAACGTTGTAGTCACAACTGACTGAAATTCCAAGAACGGCAAAACCGGAAGTGGTGTATATGACGCAGTTCTGTGTGTTCCAGCTTACGTTCCACTGTGCTTTCAGGAAGTGGATTGATCATTCTCCCCTTAGGGGATTAAATTAAATTAAGCAGCTTAAAAGACTAATAACTGATTAGCTAGAGAACAGCATCTAAATAGAAAGGCACCATTAGATCATTCTTTAAGTTTTTAGTTCAAATAGAACAGATAAAATATATAATTTTAAAAAATATATTTAGTATTATAGTATATAAAATATTCATTTCACAATAAGTCATTTGTATTTCTATAAAAAAGCCACATAATTATTTTCCTGAAGTATAAGAAGTATCCGAGTGCTGAATGTTCTTATTATACCAGCAAACTTTTCCAATAAATTGAATTTAATGTAGAGAAATGCAAAGCTATGCACTTTGTGGTCAAGAAGGCACAAGCAACTTACACCCTAAATGGTAGGGAATTAGGGAAACCTCACACGAGAAGGATTTGAGAATTGTTATAGACAACAAATTAGGCAGCAATATGCAATGTCAATCTGCAGTTGCTAAGGCCAGTAAGGTTTTGTCATGTATAAATAGGGGCATAAATTCTCGGGATGAAAACATAATTTTGCCTCTTTATAAATCGCTGGTAAGACCACACCTTGAATATACTGGGCAATTTTGGGCACCCATTCTAAAGAAGGATATCATGGCACTAGAAAAAGTGCAAAGACAAGCTACAAAATTAATAAAAGGAAGAGCATTTTAGTTACAAAGAAAGGTAAAAACATTTAAATCTCTTTAGTTTGGAAATACGGCACCTCAGAGGGCATATGATAACATTATACAAATATATTCGGGCCATACATAGGACACAAGGTCACACAATTAGTCTGGAAGAAAGGAGATTTTATCTAAGGTGAAAAATAGGTTTGTTTACAGTAAGAGCAATAAGGATCTGGAATTCTCTGCCTGAAGAGGTGGTTTTATCAGAGTCCATGCAGATGTTTAAACTGCAATTGGATAAATACTTCCAAAAACTTAACATACAGGGATATAATTTCTAATTAGTGGGGTAATAGCTGCTTGATCCAGGGAGACATCTGACTGCTATTTTGGGGTCAAGAAGGAATTTTTCCTAGTTTGTTTCAAAAATGGAAGCGCTTCAGACTAGGTTTTTTGCCTTCTTTTGGATCAACAGCAAAAACATATGTGAGGAAGGCTGAACTTGATGGACACAAGTCTCTTTTTCAGCTATGTAATTATATAACTATGAATTCATAAATATAACATAGGTCAAATTGAACATTGCCACATATATCCATTTTTTCTCTGAAAACTATCTAAAGGGTTAATCCACTTCAAATGTCTTTTACCAAGTTTTTCTTTTTCCGTTGAATAATATTTGAGAAAATTTATGCGTAATAAGATACATATATATGTTCTTTGAACCAATAATTAATGGTAAAAGGAAACACAATTCCAACTAAATTATAACACAGAATATACATCAATAATGGTATTTACAGAAAAAAAGAGACAAAATTTGAGTTAAAAAAACATCTGGTTATACAACCAAGTACGTTAATTAATTATTTATAAAAAAAAATAGAATGAAATCTATGTCAACATTCAGTCCCCACAGCTCCAAAGAGCGCAGTTTATGGATCCAGAAGGTTTCTCTTTGGGACAGTCATTGGACCATATTCCCTCCTCTCCAGTTGGGTAAAACCCTCTCTATTCCAATACACTTCAAACCCTTAAAGGAAAAAAGGTTGCAATGTACAGGAACTGAATGTGACAAACTTTTCTTAATGTTGTTGTGTTCCAGAATGTGGGTTTTGAGAGGCCTCTTCGTACAGCCAAGATATTAATTGCCGCACAGATACTGCAGTAAATAAACCACAAAGTCCGTGCGACATCCAGCATCTAATTTAATGTAGAAAGATTCCCCAGTGCCTGAACTGCAAAAGGTATTTGTTCTTTCAAAATTTAATTGTTGAACAAGCCTTACAGTTATTGCACCCTCTGAATCCTTTTTAAGTTCTATCTCTCTTCCAGTGTTAGATTTTAATGCATCACTAATTATCACTAATGCCTCACACATTAATGCTAGGAGGTTTTTAAGGTTACGGTTGTTTCTGTAGATTAAGATGGGATGCTCTGGTAGAGAACTTCCCAATACAGGGTCTTCAAGTAAAACTGACCAGTGTTTTTGTAGACCTTGTTTAATGCTTTGATGGTTTACATTATATTGGGTGGTAAATGCATATTTAAAAAACTATCTTGAATCCTTAACTTTTATTTTGTCCATTAACAATTCATTACTTCCTATCTTCCTTGTTACCTTGATTTCTTTTTCTAAACTATTCTTATTATATCCTTTTTTATTAATTTATTTTTGATATGTGCTGATGGAAGTTCAAAATCTTGGGAATGGGAATAGTTACGTCTCACATATATAAATTGACTTTTGGCTATTCCCTTTAGCCAAGTTTTATGATGGCAGCTCTTATTGTGGATGTATCCATTGCCATCTGTAGGTTTGAAAAAACATTTTGTTTCAACATGGTCATCTTTACAAAACAATCTTACGTCTAAGAAGTTTATAGTAATTTTATCCCAGACCAGTGTAAATTTTAGATGATGTTCTTGAAAACAAAAAAAAGACCCCTTCCAAATAATATCATCAATGTATCTCTGCCAGAGCACTAGGTTCTTCCTCCAGTCATGACCAGACCACACAAAAAGATCCTCTCATCTTCTCATATATGTGTTGGCATAGCTGGGGGCGAAACTGGTGCACATGGATGTCCCCGTGATTTGTAAATAATATTTATCATTAAAGAAAAAATAATTGTGTTCTAAAACAAACTGAACCGAAGTAACAACAAAATCTCTGAATTTTGGAGATAGCTTAGAGTCCCTACTCATAAAGTGATTTATAGCCTAAAGTTCCAAGTTGTGCTCAATAACTGTTTATAACATGGAGTGTTGCCCAGCTATAGTCTGGACTCCACTTGATGCTCTCCATTTCTTGCAAAAATGATTTTGTATCTCTAAATTAAGGTGGTGCTGTCTGTGCAAATATTTATAAAAATTAATTAACAAATGCTGATTAATTGTCTGTAATGGAGTTCCCACTGATTATCGGGCTTCCTGGAGGTTTTGATAGATTTTTGTGGGTTTTGGATAAAAAGTAAAATATGGGGATGGTGGGATTTTTTTTCAAAATTAGGTTGGGAAATTATATTTTCCATTTTAGCCTGTTTCAATAGTTGTTCCAATTGGGCATTGAGGGTTTTTGTGGGGTTTCCTTTAAGCACTTTATATGTTTTAATATCTCCTAGGATGTTTGAGGCTTCCTGAAGATAATATTCAGTGGACACTATACCCCTCCCCTTGCCTGCCTCTCTTCTGATGATATCCTGTCTTTTCGTAAGATTTCTTAGACAGGATTCTTCTTTCTTAGTTAAATTTTTAGTCAAATATTTTCTTATTTTATTGAACAAGGATCTAAATTTTTCCTCACCATTTGTTCGAATATTTCTAAATAAGGACCTTTACTTTGTATTGGGATGAAACGAGATTTCGGTTTCGAATTTCTTCGTTGGGGATCTTCATTTTCTATATCTATTGGTGAGGAGGGATGCATGAGGAAATGGCTTCTGATGGTCATACACCTGATATATTTTTTTCAGGTCTATGTAAAGATCAAAAGGATCTAATACCATTAGAGTGGCTAGAAGTGATCATGATCGCTTCCAGCGCTCTAATTAGCCACAGCGCTCTAATTAGACGTATCAGGTGCGTCCGCGGTCCTTAAGGACCATTTTTTGTTGGACGTACCTGATACGTCAAAGGTCGGGATGGGGTTAAACCAAATTGAAATGGAAAAAGAGGTGAGTATTAACCTTTTAGACTTGAAAAAAATTATGATATATATAGGATCAATGGTTAACAAGATTAAATGGAATATATAATTTAATTAATTACCCTAAAAAGGTTCACTGTGGTAAAGGTTATATTTCAATGCTTTACCTCTGATCTCCCCCTTTCTTGTCAGTAAAAAAGAAAAATAATGTAGTTCTACCCGTGTGAGTATATGCTTGTTTTGTAAGTGTTATGGTATATGTTGAACAAATATGACCAAAAACCTAATAATAAATAAAAAAAAAAAATATATATATATATATATATATATATATATATATATATATATAAAAAAGTTTAGTTCATTTAGAAGAAAGACATGAATATGTAAAGAGATTATGAATGGGGATGTGATGATGGATAGTTTATAAATGTGAAAAAAGATTATTTTGGAACGTGAAGAGGTTTGGGAAAGATAAAAAGGGATGATTTAGGCATTTGAAGTGGCAGAGTCTGGGTAAAGATAGTTGTTTCAGCTCTCAAAGAAGATGGGGTTTGACTTTTGAAGAGAGTGAAAATGGTAATGTTCACCATGAGGGTTTGGGAATGTGAAGAGGTAAAGATAGGGTGTTTCAATATATAAAAAAGAAGATGCGATAAAGAAAATGGATGATTTGAAGTAGATAGGTACAAGAATATGGATAAAAACGATAAAGGAAGTTAAAGAAGATGGTATATGCGGAATATTTTGGCACTATAAAAATACCAATGATAATAATATATTACTGCATATTCATTTAAAAGATACGTTTCAATAAAATTTTTGATATTATTAGCCAATCACTTGTAAATGATTGATTAAAATTACATATATTCACATCAACTGAGATAAGTAACTAGGCAAACAATGAAAAGATTTCCTGAAAAAGTCTGTTAGAGGGTTGCTATATATGTAAATATTATAAACAAAGTTTAGATATTAGTGGAAGAAAATAGGATCTATCAAAACCCCTTATATAAACAATACGCCACCAGGTGGTGACGGTATATAGTTAAGGAGTCCTTGAATAAGTTTTCTGTTTTCTTGAATGGTTGTTCTGATAGCATTACATTTGCCGTGCATTTTTATGATACACAGTCAATACCATTTCTTGAAATTTTAAAAGAGAAAGGTGAGGTTTCTTTGTGAGTAATCTTTACAGAAAACCCCTTAACAGAAACACACATCTTCATTACACTACCTTTCATCCACTCTCAGTTTTCAATTCCATCCCTAAAGCCAGTTTATTCATGCTAAACGCCCATACCAAGAAAATGAGTCAAACATGCAACACGCATGTATGACTGAGAGATTTAAAGTTAGGGGTTACCCACTCACCACTGTAGATAAACAGCTACAGTTAGTGACACAGAAACCTCATACAACGACGATGGTCCCAAGGAGAAGATTGAATGAAAGTTGTTTGAAATTTGTAACACGATTTTGTGTTCAATCGCCTGTAGTACAAAATATTATATGCAAACATTGGCATATTTTAACCTTTAAATCCAACCAATCAGAGTGCTCTGTGTCATTTTACACAGCATGGGAAAGTTCTTTAGAGATTTGACTGTTGAAGTAACTACCTCAAGCATGCAGATATGTAGCATGTGCCTATTGCACTCCTTTGGACGGATAGCCCATCGTCCATGTTACTTCACCTGAACCCAGTTTACCCACTTATAATAAATGCCATAGCCAGACATAATACTTAATAGAACTGAGTGCATCTCTTCTCTAATGAAGTGGCCCACTCGCATTTTACCTGTGCAGTAGTACTGTTCAGGATGTACCACATACAATAATTGTATCTATGCATAGGCCAACTCACATCCACGCAAGTTTTTATCTTATGATTTTCCTACCATCAGTCTAGCTAAGTAAACTTTGTTAGACTGTTTGTTATAGCTAGTCTAGAACAGTATTTCCAGATCATTGTTTAATCTTCTATCATAACAAAAAAAGTGCATTGTATTGGAAGTCATGACGCAGTTTACATCTGTATATTGCTCTGATTGCACCAGCTGTTGTGGCAGGGCAAATCTGTTTGCTATTCTACACACAACCTAAATAAAGAAGTAAAAAGAGAAAATGAAACTTTAGCTACTGAAGTGATATATACATATATTATGCATATAGATTTAAGACATGTATGTAAAATGTAAAGCAAATGAAAAGCAATATTAGGTCTTGTATATGTAGATATATGGCACTTCTGATGAAACTTCCAGGGTGAAATGTGTAAAGTGTGGCTCTGTCTTCCATTTGGATTGCTTTTTATATTTATATTTTATAAATATATCTTGTTTATCATAATAAAATTAATCATTTTAAATTGAATCTATTTAGAAATTATTTTTTTTTGGCTTCCTTATCAACATATATTCCATGTGGGGATCACCCCACCAAAGCGATTTATACCAGAGCAGGTCTATGCTCTAGTTCATATAATGTCTACCACCACTCTAGCTGAAAATACACCCCAAATTATTATGCAAATGATATTTTTCTCATTTACCTAAATAATTGATGTAAATAACAGTCAGCATAATTCTCATGTTATCAACTATTAAGAGTACAATTCAAA